CTTGAATCATTAGTCCATATGTCTCACATTTTGACCTTTTAATAGTCCTTACCTTTAACTTAACATTTTAATGTTGTATTTATATATTTAACTATTATTATTATTATTATCATTTAAACATTTAATCATTCCTTCCTATTAAATCATTGGAGTTAATGCTTCAATCCTTGTAGATTATAATTCCATATTGTAATTTGAAAATGAAAACGGGGGTGCTACAACTCTCCCCCACTTATTAAAATGTCATCTCGAAATTTAATCTTTGAACAATTATGGATAGTATATGCGCACCTCCTCATCAGGTTTCTTAGTCCACTCGGAAATGCGATGATGTATGTGTAATCTTGTTTGCTAAGCACATGCTTTCCTAATTTATCCTAACTATTAGGAGTTCTTCACTCTCTTTTATAAAATGTTTTGTCACACAGCAATCAATTCTTGACTGGGACTATCGCTATACAATAACCCTATTAGGGAAAGATAATATCCTAGAAATCCTTGAAAACTAAACCACATGAATAAATCATGTCCTCAAGTTTCTAACTGATTCTCTCACTCTGTTTATCCCATGAGGATGGTGTACTGAAAAATAGCCTTATGTCCACTATTAGCATTGTCTTTTGTTCCTAGACACTACTACTATGACATGAAGATCTGCTAACTTCTTTGACGAATTATTCCCTTGGATCAACATTGAACTTTCCACTTATGGTCAATTTATCTACACCGCCCAACTCTCTTAACTTACCTAGTAATCATAATTACTCGGTATACTAGTTCTCCTAAACCAAATTTTCAAGCTCAACTATCTTGCATTAAGTTTCCTTTGAACAGATATAGAACTTACACACAACTCAAAACTACTCATAAATAACTTAATGGGAAGTTTCTTAGTCAAATATCACTCTATACTAACATACATTACAATGTATTTTCCTTTGATAGAAGACACTTAACTTTCTCTATTTCAGAGCATGCACAACTGGCATTTTCTTGAATTGTAAACACATATACATATGTGATACATATGTCATTCTTGAGTTTTCAATGCATCTATACACATGATCAAGGCAACACGAATAAACAGAAAACCTATGTGTACAAGAACCCAAGGATCTAGGTTTTACTAGTTATAGCAAACTACTTTTAAAATCAAACTAAGAAAAGGAAAAATCACTAACTTCTTGTTGCTTTGATTGAGATCTTGTAACTACCAGATCTTGCAATGGATGAAGGACCGAAAGTACAATCCTTCTAATGTAGTTAGATGCAAACCTCTAAAAAGCTAACAAGGATCAACCCTAGTGAAGAGTTTTTTCGAAATTCTATAACCCTATGATACGGATTATAATTTTCACAGAGATGAGAGAGAGAGAAACAGAGGGGATGTTTTATGCGAAGGAGTTAGCCACTATGGTTTGATTCCTATCAGTCTATTTATAGGCAGCAGATAAATCCTTAAGGGATTCAAACTCTTAGGATGATCCTTATCTTATTTAAAACCTACCTTATCCTTATCAGAGAGATATCAAAACCGTCCCATGCTCCTTTTTAAGAGCTTGTGGAATATTCCAATTAATCTATACTAATTATTTAATATTCCAACTATTTAATTAATTGAAACAATTTAATTAATTCAGAAATAATTTCCATTTAACTTATTAAACAGTTAATAAATTAATAACATATTATTCTTGATTTTCTTATCACTAATTATGTTATGAGACTAACCTAAAATGAACCTATTACTATTAGAAATATTACCAAACAGTTAATGACCTTGACACTATTTCCAACAATCATAACTCCCACTTAGATAGGTCATCAACTTTTTAGGTCTTAATACTTCACTAAAATCAATGGAGAATAGTCATCAAATGCAATTTCCAAACTCTGATATGAATCAAAATTTAGTCCTTAGATAATTGATTAATTATTACTTTGTTTTAGATATATGTATGAATATGAGACATGGATAAGGGTTCAGTATCAATGTTCAAAATTATGTTTTCTGATAAAGATTTCAAAAACGATCACATCTGAATTCTAAATCGAATGCATAAATTTAGTAAGGGCTCAGCCAAACACTTCAGATATCAGTAAAAAATCATTGAGGGGCCCATAGATATTGCTTCCCAGTTATGAGAAGACACAAATAAACTTTGACAACATAGTTTTTTTTCCACTTTTCATATCATACACGGAGATATCCTTTATGACCACCAGTGACGGATAGCGTTGGAGTAGGCCAATGAACAACAGATTTTTCAAACAAGATATTATCATCTTAGAATTACTTGTGACCTTATACATGAAGTAATCTCTAAGTGCAGTTTGTTCCAATACATAAATCTTTATGTCAAGTACTCATGAGTGTTAGCAAAACCTCTATTCCATGTCCAATCTCTATGGCCAATCAAATAATACTCATGATAGTCTTAAACCACTCACTCACTTCCCAAAGTGTGACTGACTGTGGAGTTTCGAATATTATCAAATTCTATATTCTAGAAGTGGGTTCAATCATGCAAAAGTGAAACAAATAATTGAATTAACACAACTTTGATTTCAACACAGGCTATTTATTAATTCACTATAAATTAAACATCAAAAAGGTTACAATTCATACCATTATATGTTTCAAATAAATCAAACTAACAGCTAAACTATTACAACATATCACTATCAAGTCTCATGCCAATGGTCCTAGCATGACTGCCATGTTTGTCTCTTGATAACGACTTCGTGAAAGGATCAACATGATTATCCTCAGATGACACTCTACTCATAATGATGTCTCCATCCTCAACTCTCTTCTGAACATAGTGGAATTTTCTGAGTATATGTCTTGAGTTACCATGATCCTTAGGTTCCTTAGTCAACTCGACTACACCCTCATTATCACAAAAGATCCCCATAGGTTCTTGATGATTGAAACAACTCCAAAATCACCAATGAAGCTCTTTAACCATAGAGTCTATTTTGTTTCTTCATTAGCTGCAATATACTCTTAGTCGTACGTTGAGTCTCCATAGTATTCTTCTTGGAACGTATGCTTGTTACTGCTCCTCCATTCAGAAAGAACACCCATCCCGACTGCAAACACTAGTTTTCACTGCCAGTCTGGAAACTCGCATTAGTGTAACCTGTAACTTGCAACTCTTCTCTGTAGTTCTTTTCAAATACTTGAGGAGATTCTTTGTTGTTGTCCTATGACTATCACCAGGGTTGTCTTGATATCGACTCACCATGCTCAAAGCATATGAGATATCAAGTCTACTCCATGTCATGGCATACATGATTGATACTATATCAAAAGCATATGGGACTCTACTCATTCTTTTCGGTTTCATAATCAGTACTGGGTGATTGGTCTTTATTCAATCGTGTGCCATATTGCATAGGTAGATATCGTTTGTTAGAATCTGTTCGTTTGAATTTTTTCAAAACCTAATCTTAGTATGTACTCTGGCTAAGTCCAATTAGACATTTCGATCTATCTCTATAGATCCTTATGCCCAATATATAAGTCGTATCTCCTGGGTCCTTAATAGTGAAACATTTTCCAAGACAAGTGTTCACACCTTGCAATGTTGGGACATCATTTCCTATATAGATTATATCATCGACATATAATACTAGGAACAACACATTATTCATACTAGCTTTGAAATATATGTAAGAGTAATCCCTGCTTCTAGTCAATCCAAATTCGTTGACCATTTCATGAATGCAAAGATTGCAGCTTCGTGATGCTTATTTGAGTCCATAAATGGACCTCTCATGCTTTTACACTCTATTAGGATAGTTTTGATTAATGAAACCATTTAGTTTGGGTCATGTACACATTCTATGTCAATTTTTAGTTAAGAAAAGTAGTCTTCACATCCATTTTCTATATTTCATAATCATAGAAAGCAACAAGGCAAGTAATAATTTAATATATTTATTCACTACTAGAAAAATAGCCTTTTGCGACGCGCAATACGTGTCGTAAAACGCTCAGACGACGCACAAATGCGCATCAAGGAAGGCTCTGTCATAACGAGAGACGACGCACATTTATGACACGCAATGTGTATCATTAAAACCCATGTCAAGAAAGGTCATGTCATAAATGAAGATGACACACATTTTTGCGTATCGTAAATTTAAATGTTTAACAAAAATATATTTATATATTTATTAATTTTTAAATTAAATTTGCATTTAATGACTCATAATAGAAATAAAATACGATATACAAAAAATACAATCCATTGCATAAAATTTAATGTCATACAATTCTATTTCTTACAATATATAAATTTGCATTCATCTAATCTACTTTGTGTTTCATACGAAAAATCTATTTCATGCGGCTTCTTCCATTTCCTTTATTAGCAGCTTCCATCATTAGTAGTACAACTAACAATTGAAATGAAGAATGCAACACTTGCATTTGCAGCATCTTATCTCTTTCAGCTTGAGCTTTCTTTTCCTCTTCTGACAATTGAAATGAAGAATGCAACACTTGTTGAATATTGTGAAACTTGTATTTCTGCCAACCCAAGAATGAAATTAGTTTGTCTGCGTGTTTTCAGCCAAGTATAGGAAATTTGCTATTATCCAATGATTCCCTATCTAACATAAAAGGGAATCATTTCCACACAAAAAACAACTAATATATTTTTTTCATATGTTTATAATAACAACCAAAATCTTGTAAAAATCACCTAAAACAACAAACTCATACACATCATAAATGTATAAAACAACAAACTCAACAATGGCAGTAGCAGTAGCATCAAAGCAGCAACAAAATCACACATCTATTTTGAAAAAGGTTTTGTACTTTACGGGCTAACACATAAAGGCAATGCACTTTGCATCAAAATTCCAACGACAACAGTACAGATACAGCTAAAGTGATAACTACAACAATTTAAATTGAATAAAAAAATAGCAACATTGAGTTTCAAGAAACAAACCAATGACGTACGTACGTGTGTGTGTGTATTTTAGTCCCTTCCAATCTGTTTGAAGTAAGCTTTATCTGCATTTGCAAGTCGATCTTGGAACAATGCCCACTCACTTCTGCATCTATCTCTTATCCCCTTCCATGGAGCTTCACCATTCTCAGACTTGCCTTGAATCAAGAACATTCTACTTTCAATTATACCATTCTATTTTCATTTTAATATAACATGGGGTGGGGTTGGTCTCACCTGGCTCCCGAGTGAGGGGACCACCTGATGAATGATCCACTGTGAATCAACTACCCCGATTTTCTCGTGTGTAGGCTGTCACATCAAAACAATTTTTTTCTTTTGAGATTTTAATTTGAAGTTAATTTTAGAAGTCAGAAGAAAATAGAATTGATTGACTGACCTTTACACATCGTCGAAGTGCAAAATCCAAACCCATCCGTGCACCAAATCATTCTATAACAACATTATAAAACCAATATTACCATTATTGTTAATGTCTTGTTAAAATATAAGCTGGCTATATATTTTTTATATATCTTTACCTGAATCAAATGCCACACACACCTCCAATGCATGAAGAATACAGTTTATAAAAAGTAAACTTGCCTTGCATTCTCATGAAATGTAAATAGATCCCGTAGATCCTCAGTAGAGAGATTTGTCCCTTGAATTCATGAGATGTGATATTTATTATTATTCATCAAGAAGCATTTGCATATGTTCAAAAAGAAGTAACAAATACTGAAATACCTAAATGTTACTTAGCTAGTGTTTGTTGAATAAATTTTACCCTTTGCTTAACTAAACTGATAATATAAAAAGCAAAAGCAGTAGAAATATTTGTAGTTTATCTGTTACCTTTTCTTCAATAGTTCCAGTGCTCAAAAACCTATAAATGTATACTCTCTTCTTCTGCCCATCTCTCCAGACTCTTGCAACAGCCTACATGGAAAGGAAAAGTATAAAAAAGACGACTTTGTCCCTAGAAAAAAAAATAGTTGAGTGTCTAAGTACCTTTGATGGATTCTATACCATTTCCTGAAAATTATTCAGTTTTTAATTATTGAATTCCATTCTATTTAAAGTCAATTGATAATTTTATGAATTCTATTCCATTTCTTGCCAAACCAAAGACATGACAAAATACAATTTCTTCAGATTCCAATTCCCCTGGAGTTCAACTCCAATCACAGATTCCATTCCTTCCAAATAAATACATTGGTGTTTTTTTTCAGCTTCAAAGGTTGATTCATATGCTGCTGGAAAACCTTTCTTCTTTAATGGAATCTTTGATTGCCATCAATCAAAAAACAAAGCCACAAGAAAAGTCATCAGGCTCTATTAATGATCTAATTCCATCACTCCTTAGACTACGAATATTAGCAGGTATGTTTTTTTTATTATTTAAATTGGTGTCACTAGCAAGGAATAATTATTAACCCAAATGGAATGGAATGGAATGAATTTCACAATATAACCCAAATTTGTATTTATTTAATTAGTAATGACTCGAATATCTCTGAAATTTTTAGCAAGGAATAAAAAATTATTAATATTCTAAACAGTAGAGCTAAAACTATATATATTGGAAATTAATATAATAAAAACATCCATTCTAATTGTAGATTGTAGCCAAACAGAACAAGTCTGTTTCCACCTATCAAGTTGAGGCCACAACCATCTGCAACATAATGAAGCATCTTCTTTCATTAAATTATTATGTACTTATTAAATGATTAAAAAATAAATACCTTTGATGGATCATTGAAGCAGCTGACCAACTTTTATCTTTTGCTAATTGATGTGGACCCATCAAGCCTTAAGAATGGAACAATAAGGTCCAGTGTCTGAAGAATGAGAGCTATTTAAAGATTTAATCACTTTTATTAAACTCCTAATTACATAAAATATACCTGGGTATAATTTGAAACCAATACAATTCGATCATCTGTTCTCTTACAAAGATGGGCCAAGACTTGCATCTTTCCTGACAGTTCAACCCATGATCCATCACCACCAGTCCAAGATCCAGATCTAACAAATTAATAATTAAATATATAAATAAACATCAATAACAACGTAGAAAATAACGAGACATAATAAGAGATTATTTAGTTTTATTGTTTGCTCTGTTGCAAGATCCTTCCCTCCAAAAATAATCTACTCATAAACCAACATTAGTAAGCATCTGAAATGACAACTTTGCCCTCTATTAATTTTCCAAAAAAACAAAACAACTAACCTCAGCAAATACAGAAACAATTGTAGGGAGATACTGGTTGTTCGGTCCTAGAAGTACCGTTTGTGACCTGTAATAGTATAAAAAAGCAAACACATTCTCAATCTCTTAAGCAATTATCTGATTCTATCACTTTCATGTATGTAATGTGGCACAATTTAGAGAAAATAAATTACTTCCAATTAAGCTCTTTTGCAGCTTTATCAGTCGACGTATAAACTTCTGTAGCATCTCCAGCCCTTCTTCGACACGGTTTAATGGGGGTTTTCTAAAAATGTCATTTCATAATAATTGTACAAATTAATATTCCTTCCAAGTCATGTACAAATGTATTTATATATAAAAACCGGAACAACCTTTCCAGATACTTTCTCAAACGCAGTCACCATTTCAAGCACATAGGTCCCTCTACCGGTCCCCAGGTTGCAGGCAAAACAACCTAAACAACAATCCACGTCAGCAAAACAATAAATGAAATATAACTAGTGACTGTTTTCTCTCACCTATATTCTGTTTTGTGAAAAGCTTTTTAAGTGCTGCAACATGGCCATCAGCCAAATCCATCACATGGATGTAATCCCGGATCTGTAAAGATTAAGAAAAATCAATGCAATGGAAGTAGTAAGCTATAGCAATTAACAATTAACAACGATAGATACATACATACAGCACTGTCATCCTTTGTGGGGTAATCATGACCATAAACATTCAACTCTAGTAATCTTCCAACAGCTACTTGTTGTATGTAAGGCATCATATTATTTGGGATCCCAATCGGATCTTCACCAAGTTTCCCACTCTCATGGGTTCATTGCCTTGAGTTCAAAGTCCTCAACACATGGAATTTTCTTCGGCTGTCCATAAACAGTTGTAGATGAAGAGAATACCAACTGCCAACATTTAAAATTAGGTGAATATATCTTGAATCCAAGATCAGTGTGAAAGACAAGACAGGGTACATACCTTCTTACAATTGTATTTGGCCATGACTTTGTATAGAGTGATGGACCCGATCAAATTATTATCAAAGTAACGGAATGGATGGTCCACGCTTTCACCCACAGCTTTCAGCCCAACAAAGTGTACCACAGCATCAAACCTATAATTACAACACAATCCATTTACTACTCTATATTTACAAATATCTTAAGTAGCCAACACAACTCCCTGAAAACATATTTGATTTAATTAGTTAGGTGTTTTGACGTGTTTGTTGTTTATATTCATGAATGCACTCTTAAAGCATTGTAAATGATGCTTTTTAAATTATAGATAATATATACATAGAAATCTATCACAAAATTATTATATACACCAATCAAGAACATCAATTATACTGTAAAATTTGACCAAAGGAACAAAAAACCCCAAGAATTGTGTAATTTTCAGGTCGTAAAGTATGCATATGTAAGCTAAAGATTAAGGCTTATAATCATAAGATCATCAGGACCCGCCAGTGTAATTGTACCCCACAAGGAGAAATCAGGTAAGAAATCTTCACACATAGACAAGAACAGAAAAACCTTACACTGGGTGATCGATGTAATTGCAACCGATAAGCATACCTCGAAGCCGAATATCGTGTTCCACTGAGAGACTGGCTAACACCGAAATCATTGAAGAGGAGCACTATAAAACCAAAAAGCTTTGATCGATTGGGGCATAAACACGGTCATATTGGGGGAACTCTGAATTTAACATGAAGGCAGGCCATCACTCCAACACGGAAAAAAATGGCAGCTGATTTGGATCTTCAAATCCAAGCAAAAGTAGATCAGGGCCGCAATCATTTTTTTTATCTTTTTTCTTTTTCACAAAACGTATGGCGGCTACTTCGCAGCTAAAAATGTCGGTTAATAATTAAAGCTAAACAACCCAAAAAAGGTAGAATTAGGGTTTTATCAACATCTGAGTAGATTACAATAATTACATTCTATAAATCAAGCAGAAATTGGGGGCTTATAAGGAAAAAGAAACTCCTCAATTGAGTTGTAACACTCGAGTAGCTGTGAGACCTCTTAATCTGAACAAAATTACGTTAATTACACAATAGTCTCTCAGGTAGGTGTTTGAAACCATTAGGCAAGATATCGTCGGCCCGCTTTCGGCGACTGTACAACCCATCAATAGCAGAACTAAATAAAATCAATAGAAATTATAGGATTGGTGATGATATTAGGGTTTTTTTGGGTATTAGAGAGAGAGCGAGAGAGAGAGAGAGAGAGAGAGAGAGAGAGAGAGAGATAGAAAAGAACGATGGAAATAAGGTAGAGGATAACAATGGCGGCCTTTCAAACTTTTGGGATTTTCGTTTCCCCCCAGCTCCGAAAGAAGAGAACGCGCCTTTCATTAAAAAAATATAAAGCGACATTTCTAGACGACACCCATTTTTAAATAAGTGCCCTCCGTGTTTTTAATTTTTTTTTTGTTGGATATTAATTTTAGGGCACGCACAAAAGCGTGTCCTCTATCCTTCAAATTTTAGAAGAGATGACATTATTTTTAGGGCACACGCTTTTACGTATCGTAAATCACCGCGTGTCATTGTTTGCGTGTCATTAAAGGGTTGTTTTCTAGTAGTGATTCTTGGCTACTGGTGAGAAGGTGTTAGGTCATAAATTATGGTTTATACTTTGCTTTTCATAAGCTATTGGAGTTTTCGGTCTAGGACCGAAAACACCATGTTTTGGTGTGGTTTGGACCGAAATCACATGTGATTTTGGTTAGGCTTAATATTGTTTTGTTTGGGTTTTGGATTGGGCCTTGGTTATTAGGTCTAGGTATAAATAGTGTTATTTGAACCTTGTAAATGGTGTGGGACGTTTTTGGGGCTGCCATAAGCGAAGAAGACGTTCAAGAGAGAAACAGAGAGAAAACAAAGTGTAATCGTGAATCTTATGTACTCGATTATTCATCTATAATAGTGTGCATTGAAGATTAATCATCTTGTTCTTATTCATATTATATCTTGCATCATTCACTAGATTGGGATTCTGCACCATCATAGTGAAATCCGATTGATACTTAGAGATTTGGGGACTTACATTTGGTATCAGAGCAAAGAATAGGTAGCAATCGGGTTATTGCAAAATATTATTAAGAGCTTTCTTGGAGTTTCTTGGTGTTTTTATTTTACTTTTGACAAAATTTTGGCCATTGTTCTTCGTGTTCTTCATATATTTGAGTCTTTGATCGATTTTGGCATTAAAGATTTGAAAATCTTGTGTTTTTGGCAAGTTTTGGGTATTTTAGGTCAAAATTTGCGAGATCCCGGCGGCCACCCTCGCATTCGGTCAAACCCTATAACTTCTCGGACGCCATCTGCGATTTCGGTCATCAGGTTCTCGGTTGCGAAGTCCTCGGCCTCGTTCTCGGTCCGAAGCCTCGGAGTTCTCGGTTCGTTGTTCTTGGTTCGCACGTTTTCGGTCAGCAGTTCTCGGTCTCGCTGGTTTTCGGTCTAGTTCTCGGTCCAGAGTTTTCGATGGATTGTGTGCGAGTCTTCTCGGTTGGGTCATGAGGCTTTGCAAATTTCGGTCCAAAATCTCATTTTTTGGCCCAAAAGTCACATTTTTGGTCCAAAACCCTCGTTTTCGATCTAGAAATGTTTTTTTTTCGGTTAAGGTTATTTTTTTTGGACAAAATGTTTGATTTTCATGTTTGACTTTCAAGTTTGACTTTTGACTTTCAAATTTAACTTTTGACTTTCAAGTTTGACTTTTCACTTTCAAATTTAACTTTCAAATTTGACTTTTGACTTTCAATTTTGACTTTTGACTTTCAAGTTTGACTTTTAACTTTCAAATTTGACTTTTGACTTTTAAGTTTGACTTTTGACTTTCAAATTTGACTTTTGACTTTCAAGTTTGAGTTTTGACTTTCAAATTTTACTTTTGAGTTTTAAGTTTGACTTTTATGTTTGAGTTTCGAGGTTTCAAGTCAAAGGGCATTTTTTCTTAGCTTCACAGTCAGTTCTATTTTTTGGTAAATTACTCTTTTTGGTGAATAATGAGTTCTTCAATCACCAAGGTTAATGAAGCTTCATGCTCTCAGTCCTGTGAAGCTAAAAATAACTTTATGGTGATCAACATGAATTATTAATTAGGAAAATTGAGGACCTTAAATATGAAGGATACACTCTAAGAGAGGCCCAAAAACCCTTAAAAAATCAATTAGAGGCCCAAACAAAAGATTTAAAAAGAATTAAGGAAGAATACAGTATAAAATGTGAGCATTACGATTATGCTCAAGTAAAAATTGCCAAATTAACTGTCGAACTTGATACATTAAAAGCTAAATATAAAGATGTTGAATTTAACTTGAAGAAATTTGACGTGTCAAGTGAGGTAGTTGTGTCCATGATAGAAAAACAGTTAAAATTTAATGATAATCAGAATAAGGGTCTAGGGTATCACAGTGTTCCACCTCCCTTTAATGACAACTATACCCCGCCCCTTGAAACCAATGAGGTAAAGATATCTGCTCAGTTTGGCCCGCCCCCTGTACCAGCTTCAGTTAAGACTGAACAATCTGGCCCAACTGAGAATATTGAGGTGAATGATACTAATGCTTCTACTTCATGTGAAGGTAAAGTAGTGGAAGATGAGAACAAGGAGAACATAAATAATTCTATTTCTATTAATTATGTTGATTGTCAAACCAATGTCTCTTTGAACTCTGAATCTGTTGATTCTAATTTTGTTACTTCTAATAAACCTGCTATTGGTAAATACAGGCCACCAAAACAAGCGAAACAGACTACTTTTTGTAAGTGTGCTTATGGGAACAATATGAGACAAGGCATGGGCACGCTACCAGGGGCAGGCAGAAACAACTTCTACGTGAAGAAACAGACATGTGTCCACTGTGGAACACCAGGACACATTTCCAGAAATTGTCCAAATTGTTCGTATGTCCCCTACTATGCATAAGGTTGGCAGAATATGCCAAGAGGGAGATCCTCTAAAAGAAACCCTTCGAGGTCACATTCACTCAATGGTGACTGGGATGCTAAGAAGGGCAAGAATCAATCTCCCAAGGACAAAAGGGTAATGTGTGACAAGCAGCCAAATTCAAGAGATGGTTGTGTTAGACCAAAATCGGTTAGGTCAAAGTCATTTCAGCAATCGGTTTCAAGTTCTAAAGCAAGTGCTAAGGCATCCATCCGCTCAAACAAGAAATGGGTTAAACCTGACTACGGATGGGTACCAAAGGTTAATACTCCCAAATGATCAAATGATTCTAACATTTCTTCATCTTTTGTGTCTAATATACAAGATATGTCATGGGAGAGAGTACCTTGTGTAGATGATAAAGGTCAACCTAGTTTCAAAATGGACTGGGTTCCAAAAAGCAACTAATCCCTCACTCTGTGTCGGAGCAGCTATGGACGAATATCATCAGACTTCGGTTTGTTGATAGTGGCTGTTCCAGGCACATTATAGGAGACATCTCTCAACTGTACAACATTCAGAATCTTTAGTTGAGGGTATGTGTCCTTTTCGCGAAGGAAGAAAGAAAGGATCACAAATGGGGATCTCATTTAATGGCGTGATGAATATTGAATATCTTAACTTCGTTCCAGAGTTGAAACACAGTTGAGGCTGAACATGTAGTTGCATCTGCGTGCTGTTCTCATATCATCTGGATGCAACTTCAATTGCTGAATTACGATTTGAGTTTTTCTCTCGACACTTCTAAGCTTTTCTTAAAATGATACGTTTTGAAGACAATTTTTTTTAATTGGCGGATTTATTTTAT